AGGTCTCTCTCTCTCTCTCTCTCTCTCTCACACACACACAAAACTTCAAATTGTAAACTCTTTTTTTTATGTTTGTTTTATTGTTTGGTTGGTAGGTCTTCCTTAAATCAGGATAACGATAAGACCACTTATGGGGCTTTTATAAAGGTGGATCCTCTTCATGAGAAGCTGTCACTAAGAAGCTTGGTAAGTTGCTGTGAACCAATCAAATAGGGATTTTATCAATTTATGCTATTTTTCTTTGTTGAAAAGTCAGTGTTTCTATATGATCATCATGAGGTGCTCCACACATTGGATTCATGGGAAAGTTCTTTTGAGTTTACAAAGTCTTGCCCACCAGAAATTTCCATCAAACCTTGAGAATTTGTCTGTATTTATTTTCCTTGAAACATTCACACGCAAACTGACCCCATCTTCGCACTTTCACATTGACCATATTATATATGTTTGATTTTCAAATCAAATAGGGATGAAATTAAATAGAAAGCACAACTCTAAAAGTACACAAAGCAACTTCTAACATAGTTAGGATTTTGACACTAAATGATGTGTTTGGGCTTTAAAAAGATGCCTATTGCACCATTTAAGTGCTAGGACCACCTTAGACTAGATTCTTTTCCATTAATCAAAATAGTTTAATATTTCTCATAGAGAAATGCTACGATCAGTTGCGTCATTCGTGAATGCGTAATTAACTTATATTATGATTATTGATGCATGTGAATCTCATTGTGAGACTCACGTGAACCTACGGTTAGAAATCGCACTCTTATATATGCGAACACTCTTCATTCCATATACCACCAAACCAACTTTATGCCATGGTTCCTACTCAGCAATGTGCATGCCTATACTTTTTCAGCTCATCCTTTTTCTTTTACCCATTTCAGGATAATAAAATTTTGTCCTAATGCATTTGAAATTTTTGCATCTTCTGCAGATAGATCACTCCATAGTGGAGAGCCTTGCCGGACAAGGGAAGGCGTGCATCACAGCTAGAGTTTATCCCACATTGGCCATTGATGTTGATGCCCACTTGTATGCCTTCAATTATGGAACCGAGGATGTAAAAATCACAGGAAGTGCATGGAGCTTGAAAACAGCAAAAATCAATTGAATTATATATATATTATGACTAGTGGAGAGGACTCTTGGAAGAAGGAGAAGAAAAGCTTGGAAATATTATTCATTCTTATGATCTTGGTTCCGCATAATTGAGATTAATAACTATTAAAACTATTTGGTTCTGCTTAATTATTATATAAAGCTACTTGTTCAATCGAGATTGCTGCAAGTTTCCCACTAGCTTTCAATTGTTTACTACAACCTAGAAGATAATAAGAATTATAGTATATAGCAGCACTCT